TCCAGCGGGGGGTGGGATGGAAAGCAGGTGGGGGCATGGCTGGCGCGAGTCCCAAGGGGCGTGGCACGCCACCCGCAGTGGCGTGGCACGTGTCCTGGGGCCATGGCGTACCGCCTGCGGGGGTGTGGCGCCCAGCGCACGGAGGGGAGCCATGATGGCACCCTGCTGGCATCATGCCATTGGGGGTGGTATGCTCCCCCAGCGCCCCTCTTCCTCCGCCAGTGAGCCTCCCCCTCCCCCTCCGCCTGCTCCTGATCCGGATCCTGAAACTTCCTAGGAGCAGGAGGATAGTATACTGTAGATTTCAAACAGTGGTTTGCAGAGGGACATAGTTCAGAAGGCAGAAGCTGGGAAATACTGGATGGGGAACAGCTAGGAGAAGAAGCACTAGGAGAGAGAGAGTTAACAGATTCACTGTCTCTGGAAAGCATTCATCCGCTCAGCCCAAGGTCAAGAGCTGATAAGGTGGCAGCACAGAAAGCACAGTGGTTACGCGCTCAGGTCACAAGACGCGGTAGTGATGTGGGTGACTAGGGAGGAAGTGGATGGAACCCTTAATTAGGAGCACCATCATTCCTAGGAAATGGATTCTTTGTTCTCTCGCTATGATCATTAAAGTTTCTAACTGGTAAGAAGACTCCTTTTCCTTTGTTCTGCTTATCTACTTCCTAATGGGAGAGGAAGCCAATTCCCTGAAGTCTGACACATGTAGAGGATTATTGGTTCCCTACACTGCAATAGAACATCAAATGGTTTAAAAATAAAAGCCATGAGCACAATCCGATATTGCATGATGGACTTCTGTTTGCTCTTCCACAAGCTCCTATCCTCCAGATCAGATTTTAAGAGTGCGTGGGGGAAGAAAGGAAGTCAAAATCATGTTGTGCAAGTGGAAGGCCATTCTATTCACTATTGGCAGCACTGGATACGAACCATTCCATTCATTCTTATCCAGGATCCAAAGGGGTGCACACACAACTGCCACATACACACCCAAGCATTCCCACCCACCCGCCCCCAATGCAAACCCTTCAGAACTCTTTAAAACTCCTCTGACCTAATCACAATAATTTTGACCCTATTACAATTTTTGTGATTAGAGATGAGGGGCAGACAAAGGAAAACCCAGGGGAAACATCATGAATGCAAAATGCAGTATTTAATAATCTGCAGCTCTTACACCTAATCTCTCACTGCCTTGGAAATTCGGGGGAGCTGAAAGAACTAGTGGGATGGGGTATAATTTTCTGCAAAGCTAAACTGGTGGCGGGAGAGTGCCTAGGATTGCCAGACCACAAGCGGAGGCGCTTCCAGACTGTGGTTATTTTTGGATGGCATTCAATCACACACTTGCCAACTCAGATTGTGCAATTATTATAGTTGGTTGGGAGGTCTTCAACAACAAATCCGCTTCCCTCCCCAGAAATGGACTCTTCATGATATGGCAAGCGTTGTGAAAATGCACTGGAAAGTGTGAGGTAGCACTTGCTTTGATGCGACATCATCTAACCTCTTCACAATCATACCAGGATGAATGCTAATTAAACTATCTGATCTCCCTGCAAACAGATCAGGTTGAATACTCAATAAACAGATCATCCAAAAGCACTTCTGTAGAGCATCGATGCACCCTTTGTTGTTGTTGTTTAGTCGTTTAGTCGTGTCTGACTCTTCGTGACCCCATGGACCAGAGCACGCCAGGCACTCCTGTCTTCCACTGCCTCCCGCAATTTGGTCAAACTCGCGCTGGTAGCTTCGAGAACACTGTCCAACCATCTCGTCCTCTGTCGTCCCCTTCTCCTTGTGCCCTCCATCTTTCCCAACATCAGTGTCTTCTCCAGGGAGTCTTCTCTTCTCATGAGGTGGCCAAAGTATTGGAGTCTCGGCTTCAGGATCTGTCCTTCCAGTGAGCACTCAGGGCTGATTTCCTTAAGAATGGATAGGTTTGATCTTCTTGCAGTCCATGGGACTCTCAAGAGTCTTCTCCAGCACCATAATTCAAGAGCATCAATTCTTCGGCGATCAACCTTCTTTATGGTCCAGCTCTCACTTCCATACATCACTACTGGGAATACCATAACTTTATACGGACCTTTGCTGAAAGGTGGGGTAGCCATTGCTTCTACCATTCCACTCTTCCCTCCAAACCCTTTGTCCCCTCTCTCAATAGATGCTGAACAAAACAAGAGTCCTGCTTCTTCCAGTAGGTAGGAATGGGATTTTTGTGTGAATAGATCATGGGAGAACCAAGGTGAGAGAAGCCCTAGCTGGGCTCCACCAACAATTGCTGCTCCAGAGTGTTGACTGTCCCACGGATGGTTCCAACTGCCTGTCCTGACCATCAGAAAATATGTGTTTTCTCTCTCTCTTTCCAGCCGTGCGAAATCTAACATACTCTCCTAGAAGAAAAATGCTGATGCCAGATGTAACCTTGTTTCAGAAAATTTTAAAAGTGACAATGCCTAGAAAAATCTCAGAGCTGATTAGGATACCTTTTTGATTCCAGCGCAGAGATACCAAAGACAAAAAACACACACAGTATGTTGTCAGCATAAATGAATGTGCATGCACTCAAATTTACATTTTTCTCAGCAACATGCTGCTCCCTTTTCTTCGGAGATAAGTTTAAGGATACATCCCCAAACGTGCACGTTGTAGTGTTTTCTCATCCAGGAAAGTATGTGGTGGGTGTTACTGCGGGAGGTTCTGTGCGCATGCATGTGTATGCTCTGCTTGAATCGTCCAGCTGTGCATGAGACTGTTGGCATGGTAAAACATGACTTATGGGTCAGATATGCGCCCCCAAATTTCTTAATCCCGCTTATTAACCTTCAGTTTCTGAACAGACACAGGTGGTTCTCCCTCCCCCCTCCAAAGAAATTGTGAAAATAATAGTATATTTCCTCTAAAGATCTGTGGGCTTCAATTACTCTGCGAATAGGTTTTTAGCTGTTTCTTGGCTAAAGGAAGGAAAACGATTGCTAATTTAAAAAATCTGGCAGCATTTACAATTATTTTGGAAACAAAAGTTAATGAAATTAGGCAAATGAAATGATTAACATTAAGAGAGCAAGAGAGAAGGCGCATGCCACAGAACTACCCCCCCTCCGTATAATATTTTGTTAGCTCTAGGAACACATGCTGCATTTGACCAAATGTGATGTGCTATATCCTAATGATATTTTTGGCCACAGCAGAGGAGAGCCTGGGATGGGAAGGAGACAAGGAGTGTTGTCCTAGAAAATATAGCTCAGACAGTAGAGCACGAGCCTCTTAATCTCCGGGTCATGGGTTTGAACCCCACATTGGGAAAAAGATTTCTGCATTGCAGAGGGTTGGACTAGATGACCCTCAGGGTCCCTTCCAACTTCACAATTCTGTGATTCTATGATTTCAAAATGGCACAGGCTCACTAGAAATAGAGCCTTTGAAATAGGGTGATGTGGAAATCAAAAAAGCATAAAATAAATCTGGTCTTTTTCTTAAAAAAAAACAATGAAAATGAAAAAAAGGGAAAAAGCCAAATGAGTTCTGAAATCTCAAAGGGCTGCAAATAATGATAGTTTATATTTTATTTATGCACACGGCTTCATTTTTATGAGACAGGTCAGATGGGAAGTACTGTCAACATGGTATTTATCAGCTAGAGGAGGAGAAAAAACTGCAGCTGCATGTTCCTGGCATCTGATCAAGGCTTGATGACCACATATTTCAACATACCTTTCAATTATGAACATGGCAGAAAGACCATTTGCTACACATAAAGAAAACCCTGCAGCTCAGAGCCATAGCCTATTAAGTTTGCTTGATTACTGTAGCTGGCGATTTCTACAATTGCCACAACAGGGTGACAAAATCAGGCCAAGATAACATATGGCTTAATGGTTATTTACAAATAATAATAATAATAATAATAATAATAATAATAATAATAATAATATCAGCCCAGAGCATAGGGACCCCAGCTGGCCTTCCAAATCCTATATATATCCCCTGATATTGGTTTTTATCTGTTAACTAAGTACTGCCAAGAAGAGCTTGACCATATAATCTTATGGCTGATTTTATAGAAAGGGACTTAAACTTCTAGTTCAATCTTGTGGTTGTTAGTGTCTTTCTTTAATCCTTTCCTGTCCAATATGGTTTAAAAACAAATGTGCATAATGAACATATGTAAATAATAATAATAATAATATTTTTTTATTTATACCCCGCCCTCCCCAGCCAAGGCCGGGCTCAGAGCGGCTTACAAGCAATAATAAAAACAAGAAGAATGATTACAACTTAAAAACAAAAATAAAATACAACATTAAAATAATGGAACATTAAAATATTAAAATGTAGCCTCATTGCAGGAGGAGAAGGAAAAGAAAAAAGAAAGAGAGGGAGGGAGGGAATCAAATTGGCTCCAAGCCAAAGGCCAGGCGGAACAACTCTGTCTTACAGGCCCTGCGGAAAGAAATCAGATCCTGCAGGGCCCTGGTCTCATGAGACAGAGCGTTCCACCAGGCCGGAGCCAGAGTTGAAAAGGCCCTGGCTCTGGTTGAAGCCAATCTAACTTCCTTAGGGCCTGGGACCACTAGGGTGTTGTTATTTATGGACCTTGAGGCTCTCCGTGGGGCATACCAGGAGAGGCGGTCCCGTAGGTACGAGGATCCTAGGCCGTGAAGGGCTTTAAAGGTCAAAAGCAGCACCTTAAATCTGACCCTGTACTCCACCGGGAGCCAGTGCAGCTGATTAATGGTTGTTTTCCACTCTCTTCAGGAAAGGGCTATCTTCATGCTTAACTCCATAATAAGTTATTCTGAGCCATTAAGATGGCTTCCTTCTCCAAAGCACTCATAGACCTCAAATATAAAATCCAGGAAAGCAAGAATATTAATTCCTGCACCATCTGCTCATATGGCCAGACCAAGGAATTGGGGATCATTTCCTGTGGCCACATCTTGGCATACCTGCATGCACTGATGATCCTTCTGAACCAGTTGCTTGGCAGGAATTGCACCCTGAGGAAGCTTCCTTCTTTGTAGGTCTACTTTACAAATGCTCGCTAGGCAAAAATTCACTTATCCGAACACAAGGAATGGGTATCCAAACCTTGCTATAAGGTAAAAGGTAAAGGGACCCCTAACCATTAGGTCCAGTCGTGACCGACTCTGGGGTTGCGGCACTCATCTCACTTTATTGGCTGAGGGAGCTGGTGTACAGCTTCCGGGTCACGTGGCCAGCATGACTAAGCCGCTTCTGGTGAACCAGAGCAGCGCAGGGAGACGCCGTTTACCTTCCCGCTGGAGTGGTACCTATTTATCTACTTGCACTTTGACGTGCTTTTGAACTGCTAGGTGGGTAGGAGCAGGACCGGAGCTTACCCCGTCGCGGGGATTCGAACCACCGACCTTCTGATCAGCAAGTCCTGGGCTCTGTGGTTTAACCCACAGTGCCACCCGCGTCCCTTAAACCTTGCTATATGCACCGCAAATTCAGATATTCCAACAGAGGGTGTTTAATTGATCTGCCTGTGGTTGAAGGTAGCACAACTATGAACCTTCTCTGCTGGGCTTCTGAGCTCTGTTACCCTCCTGGGTAATTTTCAGTTCTATGATCCTATTAATTAGGAACCTCTCAAAGAGACAAACCCTATGTCTAATGGTTCCTTTTACGCTATTTCAACACAACTTGTGAATGTTTATTCAACCAAAATGCTTTTATTTTTAACAACTGCTGCTTCACTTGGCTTTCTTTTCTCCTGCAAAGCAGGTGCATGCCTGGTTAATATAGCTGGTGCCCGCCACATCCATGACCTTTTTGTGCCTCCGTCAAGCCACCTGGAAAAACTGGGTAATGTTTTTGCATTTTAAGTGTCTGGTTAATTAGCATCCACATGCAGTAAAGTCTGGCTAAAAGGGGCTAATGTCAAAGGAAACCTATCTGCCAGTGGGGTTGGGGAAGGAAAGTCCTGTAGAGACTGGTCATGAGAGTTCTCATTCTTTGTAGTGGTCAGAGTTTCCTGGCCTAATTGCATTTTTCTAAGAAACAAAAATGTTGATCTTTCTCTTAACTGGCTTAGAGTTGCTTTTACTTTACATTTTGTACTTGGGCACAGATAGCCAAATAAAATATCATATGCATAATAAGTCAGTTTTGAAGTGCACACCTGTGTAGAAAAGACTACTTTCCCCCTTTAAAACATGCACAAAGGTCACATGGGAAAGGATTGGAAGTACTTTAAAACAAACTCTTTATTTTTAGAGGGGGGTTTTGGCTACATTTAAAATTTTTTAAAAATAACACAATCCCTCTTACATGGCATGCAGTTTAGAACAACAGAGTATATAAATTAACAAATAAACATCAAGGAAAGAAGTAAAAGAAGCAATTGTTGCAAATATACATGTTTCTAAGCATCCTTGTACATTAGTGAAAAAGTAACTTAAGATGTTGACCCAAATCTTTTCCTGGGAAGCTGAAACAGTCTTTAGAACAGGGGTGGGAAATCTGTGGTCCTCCAGGTGTTGTTGGACTACAACTCCCATCATTCCTGACTACTTGGGGCTGATGGGAACTGGATTCAAACAACATCTAGACTCCACAGACTCCTTTAGGGAAAAAAGCTAAACCACAGAATAAGAGTTTGTTTCATATCATAAAATTTATTCTTTGTCCATTTAGTGATTAAGAAACTTCCGTGTACTTCGAATGATGCTGCCCCTAATCTGTGTTCTGTTTATTTCTTGGCCTATCTTATTTAATTGTTCAAATAACTGTCAACATTTCAAGAGGAAGTTCTGTTTTGAAGGGAGCCAATGTTACGTTTTGCTACTGGAACTGAAAAAAGGCAAAGATCAGGATTTTACACTGACTGCTATAGACTTAATGCTCTATTAACATTTTTATACCTGATTAACGTAGTCAAAGGCAAGCCCACACAATTATTCCCTCTTTTAAAAAGCTATGCTAAATAGATGTGAGAGTAAAAACATTATTTTAATTTATTAAAGCAAGGGATTATAGAGTACCACCGAACACAAACCAACAGTTCTAGGAACCAAGTCAGTGATGTTTTCAAGCCTTGGGAGAAGGAAGCCACGGAAACTCAGAGTTTGCCTTACCAAATTCTACCCTAGAAACTTCATAATCCAAACTCTGGAAGAAGAAAAGACTATGACAGAGTCTAGCAGTCAACTCCATTAACCTCCAAATGTGGTTCATAGTGGAACTTTACTGTCCTATGTCTCTTTGACTGCTGTAGCTTATGGTGAGATTTTTGAGACAAAAATCCTCTCATGTGCCTCAGTTGTTTAAAGCAAATGCTGTTATAATATATATAAAAGACAAGCAAATATGGCAGCCAAACATAAAATAATCTGAGGCTTATTTAAATTGTCATCACAAGTTCCCTAAAGAAGAAGGTTTAAACCAATTTCCTAAATGCTCCCAATAAGGTTGCCAGACAGGTTTCCCTATAGCAGAAATTCCACATGTTGAAGCCACCCTTCTCCTCACAGCCTCATAACTGACTCAATTCAAATTTCATGTTGGATTTTATGGTGGCGGTATTAACGAAAATAAACAGCCTCATGATGAGAACACAGCTTGCAACTAGTAAGGTGTAGCCTTAACTTGAATTGTTCAAAAAGCAGCGCTTATATTACAGCTCACAATGTCTCTTGAAGTAACCTTCTTTAGCAAGCATTTGAAAGAAAGCACACAAGGGCTGCCCTCTTTCCCTCGACTGAGAGCACCAAGATTTGAAAAAGAAAACAAAATTCTTCATGCTTTCTTCTTGTCAACACTACGACCTGCCTGTGGCTGAGTCTCAGATTCCTAATCAGCTCTCACTCAGCCTAACACCAGTACAAAAGTTTTCACTTATTGTTTGGCAGCGGCTAAGCTCACCAAAGGGCCTGCAATGAGTAAGAAAGTGCTCACCAGAAAAAGCCGATGTCTGCTGCGTTAAAAGAGTAAGTGTTACATTCACTAATCTTTGGTGTTGACAGAGAAAAGTCTAGGAGCAGATGCTTTTCAAAAGGTTATTGTCCTCTTATTCCATACTAAGATTTAGCAAGTTATTTTTATATTGTTTTAAGAGACTGCCTGTTATTACCAATGTGAAAAATAGCTTGCCCGAAGTCATTTTTCAAGCCAACAAATCATGGTGGTAAGAGGAATATTTCATGCCCTGGAGGTATGTTTGAAAATGATAGAGGTTATGAAACAATCTTATAAATATCTCTGAAACAAGGTTGCAATGTGGTACACATTCAGGCCCTGACTGATGTGTGACGTGGCCTACTGTACCTGTGCAAGTGTTCATCACAATAATGTCATGTCCAAATGCCGATATGAACCTATATATGATTGGGAGTGGCCGCCGAGACCATATAACACCGCTCCTGAAAGACCTACATTGGCTCCTGGTACGTTTCCGAGCACAATTCAAAGTGTTGGTGTTGACCTTTAAAGCCCTAAACGGCCTCGGTCCAGTATACCTGAAGGAGCATCTCCACCCCCATCGTTCAGCCTGGACACTGAGGTCCAGCGCCGAGGGCCTTCTGGCGGTTCCCTCACTGCGAGAAGCAAAGTTACAGGGAACCAGGCAGAGGGGCTTCTTGGTAGTGGCACCAGCCCTGTGGAATGCCCTCCCACCAGATGTCAAGGAAATAAACAACTATCTGATTTTTATAAGACATATGAAGGCAACCTTGTTTAGAGAAGTTTTTAATGTTTGATGTTCTATCATGTTTTAATATTCTGTTGGGAGCCGCTCAGCGTGGCTGGGGAAACCCAGCCAGATGGGCGGGGTATTATTATTATTATTATTATTATTATTATTATTATTATTATTACATTAACATGCCAGCATTAACAAACAAAGAAAGCTTCCTTATACCAAGTCACACCATTGGTCCATCTAACTCAGTATTGTCTACCCTGCCTGGAAGTGTCTCTCAAGGGTTCCAGACATGAAACACTTCTAGCCCTACTTACAGGTGATGGGGATTGAACCTGAGATCATCTGTTTGCAAAGCAGTTGCTTCTCACTGACCTATGTGGGCATGCCAGTGATATACAAATGCTACTTGTGTAAAAATAGCACAAATAGAAAGTGCATTCATATGTTACAGGACATGCATGGAACATTTACACAGGTAAGTACTTTTCCTGTGGTTCATATCCCATATAAATTAGGTCTCAGTGTGACAAACTACTTATTTCTTTAGGAGCTGGTTAGACAACTGCAATACCAACCCCTCACAAATGCACACTTTCTTGTTAAGCCTATAAACACTACAAGCAGGTTCAGATGAAACAGGAAACTCTAGTTTTCCAGTACAATAACCCAGAACAAGAAGCTGAATTCTGCGCATCCCATACTCTCTTCCATTTACATGCAAGCAAGGTGGAAATGGAAAGCTTTCCACCTTTAAATGGACCAGTGTTGCCCATCATATCAGAAACTTGGGAACTGTGGTTTGTTGAATCCCCAGTTGTTCTCACAAGCCACTGTTTGAAGTAACCACTGTTCACTGAGGTTGGATGCCACATGGCTCATTTAAAATTGAACGAAGAAGCTTTCCTTCTTTTACTTGAGGGCATGAAAGGGGAGGAGAGGGAATTGCAATGTGTGAAAGTCTAAGCTACAGTATTCTCAATAAATGGCTACTTAAACACCCAGAGTGAAGGAGAGTCCACCAGCATCCTAGATCATTGGTTCCGTTGTGAAACTGATCCTTCTTGCTAAAGGTTTTGTCTAATGATACCATGGTGCTTTTTCCAGTCTCAGGAAATAATGTTTTGATAGTCCAAAGGATGTGCTGCTAATCGCCTGGAAGCAGTCACTATTGCTCCTGGACATGAAGGAAAATGGCTCAGAACTAAGTCTAAATGTTAGGGAACTTTTTTTAAGGGACAGGTTATTTTTTATTTTTAAGCAGACCTAATATAAATGAATTAAGGAAAACATGTCTTCTATGTAAAGTAAATGAAACAAAAAATTATCATTATCTTTCTTGCACTAAAACTAAAAAAAAAAGTTTTTTATGTTTCCTACCTACCATACACCAGCTTTCCCATTGTGTCAGCATTACCTCATGCACCTGTACTGCATAAAACTTGCCATTCAATAACAGTTAATGAAATAAGATCAGTTTCGTAGTTACTTAGGAAATATTCTAAACACTTCAACCCCAGTCACATAAAAACTTAGACACATGCTAAATTTGACATTCCAGGAGTTACATACTCAGCTGGTGAAGAAAAACACTAATTGACACAAAAGGGCCTAGTATTGTTTTTCCAGCATGCTGCAAATTCACAGATCACCCCACATTGACAAGAGGTTCTAGCCATTGGTGGTTTTGCCTTAGCAGAAAACACTTCAGCTTGGTCAAGTCAGGGCACCTGACCTTCCCAGATCCCCAAACACTCTTAAGCTCATTTCCTCCCCCAAAAGCTGCCTCTAAGGAAGATGATGTTCTGAAAATATTGTTTTATGTATTTTGTAGTTTGTTTGTCACAGCACTGAATGGAAGATGGCAGGATCCCCAAGCTCAGTGGAGAGTTGGCTTCAAGCACTAGGCCTGAAGGCAGACCAATTCTGCATTACAAAATTGTCTGCAAACATGACATGAAGGCTGGCAACATTAACCCCGCTGTGTGGAAATCCCTTGCAGACGACCACAATGCCTGGAGACAGGTCATATATCCACAACAGTGATCAGAGGAGGAATGACTACTGGGAGAAGTGCAGAAAGAAGAAATATCATGTGCAGCAAAACCTGACACATTCATCTCCCTTCTTGGTCTCTACAGCCACAGCTGACGCTGTAACCCTCCAATGGTTTGACTTTACCCTCAAAGGTGTACTCTTCCATTGTCTTGCGAGAGGGACGGATGCCACCATAAACTTGTTATTTATTGTTTAGATGTATATTTTGTTTATCTTGATCATAATTTTGATATTATCCATCACTCTGAGTTTCCTTTCAAAGGTTACAAATATTGCATGAAACGAAACAATGATATTAAAATAAGTTATTGTTTTAAAAACTTTTTTTCAAGTAGATCATAAATAAAACAATTGTGTTTGTCCTTACCCTTCTGTCCGGAATATGGTCCTAAAGCTGTCTCCCAGGCTCTTGTATCTGGTTGGATCAGTGTTTCCTCTTTGAATTTGGAACCTATAAGAAGTAGTCCATGATAGGACAAAAGTAATAGAAGGGTTTAAAAAGACAAATTTGACTTCAAAAATTCCACCCAAACTCTTCTTCAACATTCTCATATGTAACTATTTTTTATTTACACCAGCTTTTAAACTGGCAGAGTTTTCTGAAATAACCATTATTCCCATTATGCAGAATGGAGGAACTGTGAAACCATAAATGTTTCTTGTCACTCTGATCACATGATATCCCTCTTTAAATCCCCATATGGGCTTCCTGTCCAGTCTTGGATCCAACAGAAACCGATTGTCCTTACCTTCAAAGCCCCCCATAATCTTGTAGCACCCCATATCTTTCCTAGTGTTATCTATTGATAAACTGATAAATCTCTGTGTCTGTCACTCTTCCAACTCCACTACTCTCAGCCATCTAAAGGTCTTCTGCTCCCTCAGATGATTCTGCTCTTCATTCTTTGCTGTCGTATAACACTTGAAAATGCCTCACAGAACATCTATATGCTTTCTTCAAATTGCTTTAAAAGACCCACCTTTTCCATGAAGCCTTTGGCATAATGCCCTAATGAGAGTCTAATCAACTCTGGTAATGCCTCTGACTTGTCTGGATGGAGGACCGAGAGTGGTGTGTGTGTGTTTAGAAATTAGCCTATGGGGAGCGGGTGGCACTGTGGTCTAAACCATTGAACCTCTTGGGCTTGCTGATCAGAAGGTTGGCGGTTCGAATCCACACAACGGGGTGAGTTCCCATTGCTCTGTCCCACTTTCTGCCAACATAGCAGTTTGAAAGCACACCAGTGCAAGTAGACAAATAGGTACTGCTCCGGCGGGAAGGTAAACGGCGTTTCTGTGCACTCTGGTTTCCATCACGGTGTTCCGTTGTGCCAGAAGTGGTTTAGTCATGCTGACCACATGACCCAGAAAGCTGTCTATGGACAAACGCTGGCTCCCTCAGCCTGAAGCAAGATGAGCACCACAATCCCATAGTAGCATTTGTCTGGACTTAACTGTCCAGGGGTCCTTTACCTTTAACCTTAGAAATTAGCCTACTCTACAAAGGTTAAATTTATGTTTCTTGCTCTGCCCAATTTTGCCTCTGGCCCCACTAGTGGAATGTGGACCACAGAAGGTTGCTCTAGAGGGGAGGGAATGAGACCCTTGGACTGAAACAGCCCCCTCCCCATGGTGATGTGTACTTTACTTCCTTCAACATTTGGAAAGCCAGCCCTGTTGCATTTGGGATCCCTCCTGTTCTTTCTGCTGAGTGGCGCCCTGGGCTTCTGCCCCCAAGTCCTACGCTGAAGGCACCACTGTACTCACTTCATATAACTGTCAGCTGCTGGTAGTGCGTGAGGCGGGAAATATACAGCTTGATGAGTTTTCCCAAGTTTAAGCTGCTACTCAATTCAATGAACATGGGATTTGCTTCAGCAACCTATTATCTTTCAATTCTACCACATTAAGGTTCATTGATCTCCATTATTTCTACCCATGTGTAGATTACATTTATCTCCATGGCATAATCTAAAGTACACACCAATCTGCACACAGAGACTATCCTGTTCTCCTCTGTGTTAGGGAAAGGTCTGCAAGCAGTGCTGCTGTATTTTACTTGACGCTTCCAGAGTGTGAGAAGATAACATAACAATTCCATTAGGAATTTGCAAAAGACTGGAACATTTTAAGGAACTCTTTCTCAACATCTGTGATGAAAACTGATCTTTAATAGTGTTTAATTTATTCTTTAGTCATAGGTAGTTTTTTTTTCAAAGAAAAAATTAATGGCCACGAATGAGGAAACATTAGGTAATTAAAAGTACGGTACCATACAGTACATTTCAACAGGTGAGATTTGCAGTGCAAACCTCTGCAAGTCTACTCAGAAGAAAGCCCCACAGAACTCAATGGGACTTACTTCAAGGTAAATATGTATAGAACAGGAGCCCTACTGAAAGTAATGGGCCTTAAAGGTACATAATTTGGGCTGGATGGTGTCTACTGTTTCCAAAGTAGTTTTTTAATGTGACCATTTTCCAAGCTCCGAGAGAGAAATTTCCTGATGATGTAATGAAAATACATTGGGCAATTATGAAAGGAAGTCCACACCTCTTTTGAGTGCACTTATGTTGGGCCTTTCTATAGTCCCAATAAAAGTAGTTCTGGCACATTCGAAATGGTTGTCTGGGGTAACTTCTTTTATTAGCCCAAAAAAAACAACTGTTGCCAAGTTGGCAGAGCAGCAAGCACTCTTCAACAGCTTTACACTCCAGTAAGAACCGGTGCATAACTTTTCTTGTTTCAAAGAGCCTTTGGGAAGGTTAAGTCTCACATCTTCCAATGGCATTAGATAAAGTTCAATAAATAACAGAATGCCAAATAATTGGTGCATTTTTAAATTGGGTGACAGAAAAATGCACCTGGCAGGAATCGCTACCATGTAGTATTAAAATATGTATGTATTAATTTGTCAATTTAATGATAGTTTACGTCATTAAAAGGAATGCACATTGCATCGTTGTCAGGGGCTCAGGGACTGAGCCACAGGAGAAGGAGGAGATGGAGAGCGAAGGGGAACAATCGGAGGGGAGCGCAGGAGGGTGTGACAGTGACCAGAGAGATTCCCTGAGTCTCTCCAGCGAATCAGAAGATTCCCAGAAGGAGGCCCCCAGGGTCAGGGCAAGGGGGGCCAGTGGGGAGTCGCCAAGCGGCAGCTGGAAATCAGGGCTAGCTTCCCCACCAGAGCGCAGCGGGGGGGGGGGGAAGAATCCCACAGATTAGAACAAAAGCCTCCTCTTGCAGGAGGAGAGAGTGAGGCAGGACTGACCACGCCTCCGTCAGAGAGTGGAGGGGCGGAGGAGAGAGCAGGGCCGGCCAGCCTCCCTGAAGGAGAAAGCAGTGAAGGGAGCAGTGTAGCCGTTAGGAGGAAAGTGGGCGGCTGGGCGCGCGCGCCAAGTTCAAATGTAGAGGCGCGCGGGTCAGCAGAAAATCCGGATTGGGAGCCAGGTCCCAAAGCCCGCTGGAGACAGGGGGAGGAGTCAGAAAATCCGCCTCCGAAGAGTCCAGGAGGGTTGGGACCCCAGAGGGCAGGAGGACCCGGAGGCGAAAGGAGCAGAGGGAGGAAAGGAAGAGGTGGAGCAAGGCTCGGGTATTGAACTGGTGTAGGGGAGGGGCGGATTCAGACGGGACTTCGCCGGTCTAAGGACTCAGACGTAGCGCTGTGCACCACTGATGTCAAACCAACAATGAACCACAATAAAGACTTTTGTTTATAAAGAGCAACTGGCGTTGGTCCTTTGTGAGCTGGGACCTGAGGCAGCCGCTGACAATCGTGTATAGATGAAGCTTTTTTGAAAGCTTAATTATCTTATAAAAGAAAGCAGGCGAGCAGTTCACTGCTTAAATCTCTGGGTGATGCAAACATTCTTTAAAATTTATCCAAAAGAAGTTGCAGAACAAAAAAAAGGCAGAAATCTAGATAACTTGGTTGAGATGCCCAGCACAGATGTGTGAAAAGAGGTTGACTCTGGCTGTCAACACAAACTATTTACAGGTGTTCAGTACAGTGGTACCTCTGGTTACGTACTTAATTCGTTCCGGAGGTCTGTTCTTAACCTGAAACTGTTCTTAACCTGAAGCACCACTTTAGCTAATGGGGCCTCCCGCTGCTGCCACCGCACGATTTCTGTTCTCATCCTGAAGCAAAGTTCTTAACCTGAAGTACTATTTCTGGGTTAGCGGAGTCTGTAACCTGAAGCATATGTAACCTGAAGCGTATGTAACCTGAGGTACCACTGTATTCATGTGCTGTTCAGTATTAGGGGCACAACAAGCTTTAACCCAAGCCCTGTGCCTTCTTGAATGTCTGTAGATGACAAACCACATGCATGTGAGGAGGGCCTTCTGCAATTTTTTAAATGAATGCACATAGGCCAGGATGGAGCTTGTATCTTATGTGCATAGGATAGAGCAAAAATACTCCAGGCACACCCTTTTGAATGTTATAGAAGGGCCCTACACGCATGCACTCTTTTGGAGCCTCGACAGACTTTTGGATAAATGTGCCTAGAACGAGTGGGGCTTGCTGCCATCCCACCACACATAGGTTGGGCAGCCTCAGGTTGGGCAAAAAGGTTCCTGCATTGCAGGATGAAGGATTAGATGACCCTCATGGTTGCTTCCAGCTCTGTTGTTGTTTAGTCATTTAGTCGTGTCCGACTCTTCGTGACCCCATGGACCAGAGCACGCCAGGCACTTCTGTCTTCCACTGCCTCCTGCAGTTTGGTCAGACTCATGTTTGTAGCTTCGAAGACACTATCCAACCATCTCATCCTCTGTTGTCCCCTTCGCCTTGTGCCCTCCATCTTTCCCAACATCAAGGTCTTTTCCAAGGAGTCTTCTCTCCTCATGAGGTGGCCAAAGTATTGGAGCCTCAGCTTCACGATCTGTCCTTCCAGTGAGCACTCAGGGCTGATTTCCTTAAGAATGGATCGGTTTGTTCTTCTTGCAGTCCATGGGACTCTCAAGAGTCTCCTCCAGCACCATAATTCAAAAGCATCAATTCTTCAGCAATCAGCCTTCTTTATGGTCCAGCTCTCACTTCCATACATCACTACTGGGAAAACCATAGCTTTTACTATACGGACCTTTGTTGGCAAGGTGATGTCTCTACTTTTTAAGATGCTGTCTAGGTTTGTCATTGCTTTCCTGCTTCCAGCTCTATGAGTCTGTGATTTCACACTGCAGGTGGGAGATGCCATTTTTTAATGCTTCCATTTGCTAAAATCTTCCTGCATGTATAATAGTAGCAGTAGTAATTTATTATT